ATAACTTGAACTATAAGTAGAGACATAAGAGTAATCAAGTTGAAGTATATAGTCAAAATGATCTATAGTACAGGGATAAGGTTGAGTACCTTACTCTAGGGACACTATGGATGCAGCCCACTTTTGTATATGATATAAACAATGTGATCACTAAATTGTAAATGTGGAGATATGTGAGTGGGGGCGTCCTATGCAATGAGTATTCCATAAGATCGAACCATGAAGAAAACCACTCTCACTTTATAATGCCGTTTACTGTTGAGACTGATGTTTTCATTCGATGACCTAGGTAACTTGATCTTAATCCTCAGCTAACTATGAATTTTTGTTTATTCGAAATTGTTCTTAGATTTTCATGGGTGAGAGTGGCCCGAGTTTTCCAATTCAATAAGCCTCCCATTTCAGGGGTAAGACTGGGTGAATAGCTAGAGACATAGATTGTAAAATGGAATTCACTCCTACCCGCTTTTAGGGATAGTAGAGAGGTTGTTCCCATAAGTATTGACTCCAAGTCTTGAACAAGGGGTCTCACCCTCTCATTGGCTCGAGAGGGATTCGGTTTGGTGGTTGGACCACAAACCAATTGTTCATTAGAGCATCAATGGGACTCAAGGAACAAGAAGTAACTTTAGGGGTAAAACGGTAAATTGACCTAGCTCTAGTTACGAACAACCTGTGAAGGATCGACTTACTAATCATGGTTATATCAAATGGACATAAATATATCTATAGTGAGGGGAGTGCAACTACTAGGCTATAATGGAATGTCCTAGTAGTTAACGAATGTTGGTTAACAAGGTTAATGAGTTTAACCTGTTAATCTTGGATCGTTGGAGTCCATGATCTATTGGTCCATTAGGTCCCTCTACTAGCTCATATCGGACTAAACAATAGAACAATGTGACGAGTGAGTTCGAAGTGTTCGAATTCAAATTAGGGAGAATGCGCTACATATATACGATATATTTAACCGCATTTTTGTTTTATTTACGAATTAAACAAAAAGAGAAAATCTGAGATATTTAAATAAGATTTAATATCTTAATCAAATATGTGTCGGAATTAATTGAGATTGTCATTTGAAGTAATATTAAATAATTAATTAAATAGTGATGGTTGAATCAAAATGAAGAAAGTCAACATGTTGACTTCATTTAATGAAAAAATCCATGTTAGTGGAATTTTGAGGTGTCAAAATTTGGTTTAACCAAACTTGCATGCTTGCCAAATAAACTCCACAAAATCGAGTGGAATTTTGAGTGTTAAAATTTGGTTAACTCAAGCATACATGCTTGCCACATAATCTCAAACATTTGAGTGAAATTTTGAGTGTCAAAATTTGGTGATCTCAAATTTGCATAAACATGCAAATATGACTCTATAAATAGAGTGATCATAATACATGAAAGGTCTTCTTGTTGGTGAAAAATCTGGAGAAAAACCTTTCACAAACACTCTCTTTATATATACAAAATCCCTCCCAAGTTTAATCACTCACCGGATTCCACAATCCCGTTCTAAGGCCGGAAGATAGTGGAGAAGACACTAGTGGTGGTTCGAAACCGGTTCGTGAGGTAAAAGGAATTTGAACTACAAAAGGTTAGTATTCAAACTCATTAAGTTTTAATACTAATGAACATGCTAGTTATTTACTATAATTGATGTTCTAAAAGTGACTAAGATCCAAATTGCTTCCGCATGTGTTATATTAACACCTTCAATTACAATAATTGTATCAAATGGAAGCATAAAAAAAATGTCAAAACCAAAAACATCCAATTTAGCAACCACAAAATTTCATATATGGATTGATACCGACCATGCTCAAATTAATGTAAATAAAGTGCCTAAAACTTGCTCTAATACCAATTGATGGTGTTACTATAACACGTGCGGAAGCAATTTGGATCTTAGGCATTCTAAGTACATTAATTATTGTAAATTTGCTAGTATCTTCAAAAGCATTAAAACTCAATGAGTTTGAATACTAACCTTTTGTAGTTCAAATTCATTTTTCCTCAAGAACCCGTTTCAAACCACCACTAGTGTCTTCCCTACTATTCTCTGGCCTTAGAACGAGATTGTGGAATCCAGTGAGTGACTAAACTTGATATGAATTTAGTATATATAAAGAGAGAGTTTTGAGAGATTTTCTCAAAATTGTTCAACCAAGTTTACATGTACCTTGATCACTCTATTTATAGTTATATTTGCATGTTCATGCAAATTTGAGATTACCAAATTTTGACACTCAAATTTGTGGGATTACATGGCAACCATGCAAGTTTGAGTTAACCAAATTTGACACTTAAAATTCCACTCAAATTTGTTGGTTTGTTGGATTATGGGGCAAACATGCAAGTTTGGTTAAACCATATATTGACACTCAAACATGGATAAGTTTGGTTAAACCATATATTGACACTCAAACATGGATTTTTACTCAAGTCAAAAATTAATTTAAATAATTAATTTCAAATCAAAATAATATTAAATGATTAAATAAACAATTTAATTAATATTTAACATTAAATAAAATGCCAATCCCAATCAATTCCGGCACATATGATTATGAATCACTATTCACAATTAAAATATTTAAATTTTATTTAAATATCTTCAATTCTCTCTTTTTTTTTAATTCATAATTAAAACAAAATGTGGTTAAATATATCGTATATATTTAGCATGTATTCCCTAATTTGAATTCGAACACTTCGAACTCACTGTCACACTGTTCTATTTTTTAGTCCGATATGAGCTAGTAGAGGGACCTAATGGACCAATAGATCATGGGCTCCAATGATCCAAGATTAACCGGTTAAACTCGTTAACCTTGTTAACCAACATTCGTTAACTACTAGGACATTCCACTATAGCCTAGTAGTTGCACTCCCCTCACTATAGATATATTTATGTCCATTTGATATACCACGATTAGTAAGTCGATCCTTCACAGGTTGTTCGGAACTAGAGCTAGGTCAATTTACCATTTTACCCCTAAAGTTACTTCTTGTTCCTTGAGTCCCATTGATCCTCTAATGAACAATTGGTTTGTGGTCCAACCACCAAACCGAATCCCTCTCGAGCCAATGAGAGGGTGAGACCCCTTGTTCCAGACTTGGAGTCAATACTTTAGAACAACCTCTCTACTATCCCTAAAAGCGGGTAGTAGTGAATTACATTTTACACTCTATGTCTCTAGCTATTCACCCAGTCTTACCCCTGAAAGAGGAGGCTTATTGAGTCGGCAAACTCGGGCCACTCTCACCCATGCAAATCTAAGGATAATTTCGAATAAACAGAAATTCATAGTTAGCTCAGGATTAAGATCAAGTTACCTAGGTCATTGAATGAAAACATCAGTTTCAACAGTAAACGACATTATAAAGTGAGAGTGGTTTTCTTCATGGTTCGATCTTATGCAATACTCATTGCATAGGACGCCCCCTCTCACATGTCTCCACACTTACAATTTAGTGATCACATTGTTTATATCATATACAAAAGTGGGTCGCATCCATAGTGTCCCCAGAATAAGATACTCAACGTTATTCATGTACTATAGATCATTTTGACTATATACTTGAACTTGATCACTCTAATATCTCTACATATAGTTCAAGTAATCATACTATAGCCAGAGTATTCTTAGTTTATTGGATTTAGATGAATGATCGTAACATTCACTTTATTCAATAACAATCTTTACTAAATAAACATCAATAATAACTTTATTAAAAACAAAATATGTTTTTGTTTACAAACCATGAGTTTTAGAATATAAGCCACACTAACAATCTTTACGGAATAAATATCAATAATAACTGTAACACATATTCTTGAGTGTAATGTTATGGTCCTTTAACTTTAAAGCTGATGAACAAGGGTGAGTTTTGATATTTTGTATTCTTGTCATAAAAGAGGGTAACGTATAGTCTACATGGTATGTTCGTATTTCCCTCCTCTGATATGTCATTTATTAGTTGAAAATGTTTATATTATTGCCTGATATGACACATTGTAAAATATCATTTATATCATATCTTTGTATTATCCTTTCCTTAAATAAACCGAACGTTTTCAAATAGTTTCTCTCCAAGTTAGGAAAAATAAATGGTACGTTAAATATTGTGGCTATTTTAGACCTTTGACACGGTTATTCTTCGTTAACCCAACATAACTTATGCAGTGACTAAATTCTATTCAATCATACTTGCCTCTACTCTAGGCTAAGTCCTAATGCTCGACCTTACCTTTATTCTAGGCCAAAATTCTTCGAAAGCAATGCCGCATCTCGTATAGTTGTTTTGATTACCAATCATGACCAAAATAAGTTGACAATTCTTAATATCATAATTTATGTCGCATTACAAGAAACAATGAATGCAATAGCTTACGAAAAATGATATCATAGACTTTTTAAAGCGCTTTTCGTACGTCGTGACAGCCCATGTGATTAAAAGTCCGGGACATTTTATAGCGTTTTTTTGTAGCTATAATAAATGCTATAATAAAGTATGAAGTTATAGCTTTTATACATTGTTATATAATCATTTTATAGCGTTTTATTAATCCTATTATATGTTTAACATAACTAAAATTTTGTGTTATCTTTAGCTTATAATTGCATTTTTTAACGCTATAATATAACATTTATAGTTTTAATATTATGCTATAATAAAGTTATTTAATCATTTATAATAATTATAATTATTATTATAGCATTTACCTAGAATTTATTACTTTTTTTGGTCGTCAAAATTTATTTTAATATTTAAATATCATTGAATTAATTATGTTGTAATAAAATTTAATCCAAGTATTCATCTTTAACTAAACACACATTAAATACATATTACTAAATGTCATGACTTCAATTCATAATTGAAATTTTAAAATCTATTTAGGTTACAAACTAATGTATTCAATAATTTCTTAAAATAAAGGGTTATTCCAATGATACAAGATAAAGTATTCTCCACTATCTGCACTGTTGTTCAATGAATGAGAGTCGTTATCATATCAAAGCTTTGTATTGTAAGTCTTCTATCATCTTTGCTCGTGGAGTATACTCTTACAAACTTTTCAGCTGACATATTAAAACAACATTTTATAAGATAATTGAACAAAAAAAAAAAAAAACAAGATTTTACTATTACTTATAACCACTCAAATCCATAGTAGAAAATGGAAAATTTTGACTCAATTTAGCCTTAGAATCCTACCAAAAAAAAAAAAATGATTATAAAGAAAAAAAAAAAGTGAAATCTAAACTTGAGTGTTCTCCAAATTTCACATTAGACATTTAGATGTATGTATAATCATTAAATATAGAGAAATTTGTTATATAAGTTCAAATTCAAAAATCAAAGTTCTTCCAAACTAGAAAGAGATTCTCAAATCTCACTTCAAACCATAATAACAAAATTCACATCATTCAAATGAAGATTAAACTTAGAATCAAAGTATCTCTATACTTCTACATCTTCTTGTACCAAACCACTTTAAAATTCAAAATGCACTTCTACATCTTCAGCCAAAACCACTTTAAAATTCAAAACAATCATAAATAGAGAACAGTATTTGAGGGAGTGACTGTAAATCCATACTGGAACGTCAAGAATCTAAAATACCGCAACCAATTCCAATTGAACTTTGAATCTTTGGGGGCTCCTTGTACAAAATCTCTAAAACCTCTTCCTTCAAGTCACTGTTGCTCTGCTCATCTTCATCTCTCTAACCTTCTAAAAGACGATAATTAGTAATATAGAAGTAGATTAAAAATATGAAAAAATAATTTTGATATCGAGGAGGGAAAGAAGTTGTGAAATGAAATGGACAAAAACCAAAAGATGGAAGGGGAGAGAAATAAAAATTGCAGGTGGGAGTTAAAAAATTGTACAACAAAATATATAGCCCATGATGTTCAGTTTTTCATAGTTTTTAGTTCAAAATGTTATATTTAAAAGCTAGAAAGGTATTCTTCCAAAGAGATGAGACTTATATAGCGTAGACTAGTAGTGAGATATTATAAATTTTTTGTAACCAGTTTCGAAAATGATCCCATTTTCCTCTATGAAGAAACTTGTTTACAATTACTTATCCTATTAAAAAAATGTATAAATTAAAATAAAATTAATAATATTTCTTATTGAGCATTTAAATGCTATACAAGGGAGATGTAGTAAGAACATACCATATAAAGAGCGTGTAAGATCATGTAAGATTAAAAGCTTATTGGACGTTTAAATTATACGTTTAGACCCTGACACAGTGTCTAATAGATCTCTAAATTTTGATTATTTTAGTTCAACATTTCAGGAGTAAGAAATCGAACTATCGAATTTTGTAATCTTAATTCATACCATATCTTTTAAATTACGCCTAGGGTAGCTCATACCTTATCTACAAAGGGTTATGTATCTAAATAATATTTTGACCCAAAATGTGAAAGCTCGTTTGTTTAAAATGGGTCCAAATAAATTGAGTTCATTTCACATCCTCCAGATTTGAAGTTAAAGCTTGAAAGTCGAGTTCGCCTGAATTTCAGAACCAACTCATCCATAAACACCTATGAAAGGATAACAACCTTCGATTTTGATAAGTATGGTCGTAAGGAAGAAGAAACCCTAGAAATAATTCTATGGCTATTTTTGTTGCAATTTGATAAAGTTTTTACCAAAATGATCGTATCTAATTGTATAAAAGTATTATACGTTCGACATCTTAGAATACACTAAATAATTACTTGATGATGGTTTATATTTGCACTTATGAGATGACCTCCTCTCCGAGGAGTTTGCAGTTTGGAGGCATTAGACTTCATGTCAGTTTTTATGTAAACTAGTATTACCCTTTTGCTTGTAAGCTCCATCGAGTCTTTGTAACAGAGCTGCTATCACATTAATATAGAATAAAAATGAGTTCAAAAACGTGCAGTATAGAGCGATTTGAACCTCTGATATCGTCGAGAGTACAATCTCATGACTATTTAAATTATGATCAGGTTGAAATTAATTTTTTTTGTTGATCTTATACTAGAAAGGAATTTGCACAGGTTGTATAATTTAATATAACATAGCTGAATTATTATAAAATAGGTACTTTTGATTAAAAAGTCAATTTACCAAGTGGATATTTTCTTTTTTGGGCTTTCCCTTCGGGACTCCCACTCAAGGTTTTAAAATGCATGTACCAGGGGTTTTCACACCCTTATGAAAATATTTTGCTCACCTCTCCATTTAATGTGGGATCTCTTAGAGAGATGTCATATCTAAGAGAGTAGGTTGTGACCTACACGATAGACAAGAAAGCAACATGCGAGTTGGGCCCATCGGACCACTTGAGAGCCGTAAATTTTGATTGGGTGACTATAAATTTAATTGATACTTCAATACAAATAGATAACCAAATAAGAATACTCTTCTAGATTTGGTCCAAACAAGAGAGCCTAATGATTACATGTTAATGAATTTTTAAATTTAAAAATTTTTTAAAAAGAGAAAGTTAATTTCCTTTTGTATTTGAGTTTGGTTTATGTTTGAAAAAAGTATGAGAGATTTTCCCTAAATGAGGAAAATTATATTTACTATGTGTTTTCTCTTTTTGAAAAACATCTTATTGTCCGTATTTTTTTTAAGAGTTATGCATTCAAGTGCATGCTCATTTCTCAAGCAGAAACAATTCTCAACATTGGAGATTATAATAGAAGAACACCTGAACGAAGTGAACGAGAGGGACTTTAACTCAGCCAATCTTCACCACATTACGTAGACATCTTCAAATAATTTCGATCAAAGTAGAAGAAATTAATAAATAAGTAGGGTATAGGTTCAAATACCTTAACAAAACTTAATATTATAATTCTTTAAAACTAATACACCATATCAAATTTTAAATAAAGAAAAAAAACATACACAAAAACAACATATTAATATCCATTTATTATGATATTATAATTGAACTTTCTAATTATCGGATATATTGATTAGTTATATTTATTTTGGCAGCCAAGTGTGGCAAATATCATACAATTTCGTTTTATAGTTGAACATACAGATACCTTGCTCTCCCACAATTCACAAACACAAAGTATTGTTGCATTTGGGTCTATCTCTATTATCCTTGTAGATATCAAAGTAATGCCAAAAGGTAGGCCACTCGAAGGTACAGTAAAACTGTGTTGAGCCCCAAACGTTTGGTCGAAAAGTGAAGGCGTAGCCGCCTAAAGGTGGGAGCTAGTGGATTCCCAAGTCATCATCGCTAGATTTGTAGTGAACAGTGAGCTGATTGTGACTTTTTAGAACATTTGTTATATTGACTGTCATCGGTGGGTCTTTGAAGATTGATCCGTCGATGGTAGTAAATAGGGTAGTGAAGAACAACGACATTAGGAGAGAGAACGCAAGTGTTGAAAATGAATTCATTTTGTAAATATGAGAATACTTGTCCTTGGTTCGTTTCACTTTTATACTTGCAAGCTTAGTTTTAATTGTCAACCAGCTTGGATCCATCTGTTATATTAAGATGGTTGACCAAATATTACCTGCTTATTTATTTGTTATTATTAGTATTTTTGTTATTTACCAAAACAACTCCTAAGAGACCATCCGTCGATAAATGGAACTCATATTCTTGAGTGTAATGTTACGGTCCTTTAACTTTAAAGCTGATGAACAAGGGATGGTTTGAATATTTTGTATTCTTGTCATAAAGAGTGCAATTATGAACTTGTTTGGTGATGCGCTCTTATTTATTGTTGAAAATAAAAATAGAATCATATTTGATAACAAGTTTTTTTTTAATAATAAACTAAAGGCTTGGAACTCAAACATTATTGGTTATTGTTCTATAAACTTTTGAATTAAAAATGCAAAAGTATGTTATGTATATATACCATTTCAAACTCACGTCAGCAAAAAAACATTGTCATTGTTTCAGTTTCTTCCTTAGCTATGACATTTCATTCTCTTGGTCCTTACTATCTTGCTCGTCGCTTCTCTCGATTCGATATATCATTCTCTCATTTGATAATAATTTTTTGTAGCATAGTCTTTTTTACTCGAATAAATATATGATTGAAATGTTGGGTTATATGCACGAATGAGTGAATTTGTTTGTCTGATGAACTGTGACGATGTTCAAGTTTGTGATGAGTTTTGCAGAAGAGTCGAGCAAAATGAAGAAATGTTTTTTTCTCCACTCATGCTTTGTTGTTGCAACAAGCCATGAAATAATTACACAATTTTCTTATCTTTCCCCTTTTGTCACTTATGCTTCATCAAGCAAAGGTGTTATCTCCTTCATATGAAATAAAAATGAGTTCGAGTACGTGTAGTATAGAGCAATTTGAACCTCTGATATCGCCAATAGTACAATTTCATGACTATTTAAATTATGATAGTACAATTTCATGACTATTTAAATTATGATGATGTTGAAATTAATTGATTTTTTATTTATTTATTTATTTATTATTATTTTTTGTTGGTATTGTATTAGAAAGGTATTTACATAAGTAGTATAACTTAATATAATGGAAGTCAATTGATATAAAGTATGTACTTTTGATTAAAAGGTAAAATTTTTCAATAAATATTGTCTTCTTTAGGTTTTAAAACGGGTCTACTATGGAGAAATTTCTACCCTTTTATAATTCGTTCCCCTCTCCAACCGATGTGAAATCTCCCAGAGAGAATGTCACAGCTAAGAGAGTAGGTTCTGACCCACGACATACACGAAGACAACATGTGAGTGTCGCCCATCGAACCACTTTAGAGTTGCAATAAACAAATGTCATGACGCGACAGATGTAAGACATGACACTAATCATGTCGATTTGAACAAGCTTATAAAATAAATTATTTTGATTTGGTGACTATAAATTAAATTCATCCTTCAATAGTAAATAGATTAGAAAAAAATAAGGATATTAGTCAAGATTGCTCCTACGTTCAAATTTAACCCATTTTTGTCTAAATAACAAAGACAAGTAACTTAAGATGCGAATGAATTGTTTAAATTTTAAAACTATACAAAAGAAAAGGTTAATTTCGTTTTGTATTCTTGCTTTTCTCTTTTTTAAAAACT